AACTGTAGCACGATACAACGATATTTCTTCAAAAGCAGATCATGGAGACATTTTAATAGTCCACGATCAAAAATCGTCATATCGCACACCCCTGACTACCAAGTATAATCAATCTCACACACACAAACAAGCACAACGAAATCACTTCACACTATTAAGCGGCTGTGTTATGAACATGCAAAATTGTATCGCACCCGTGCTACAGTGGTAAATTTATTCATCGCACAGACCGGTTTTTTTGTAGCACGTGCGACATATATGTCGCACTGTACAGCCCTGCAAGGCATACAACAGGTGCGTCTTTGGGGTGTAAGTACCTTGCAGCAAACACAGAAAGCTTTAAGCGGGTTGAGTCCGAGCCACCCGGTGTTTCCCGCCTCCCTGAAGCGGTTCATGAACTCCGTATAGAGCGCCCTCTGCAGGCGAGACAGTCGTACCAGGATCACGTGCTCCTCTTTCGCCGGAAGCTGATTCCGGAGAACATCGTGACCTCGCCTGGCCAGGGAGAAAACAGTTTAGCTTCATTTTCCAAAACCAATGGTCCAACTCAAAAATGCACAAAAACGCCATTTTTGTTCTGTACCTAAACCTCCTTAGAAGAGAAATTTACTTGAGAAGCAAAAATTGTGAACAAAAAATAAGACTTATTTTCCAAGACATTTTGATTCTAAAGAAAATATACGTTGCGTATATAATAAATATGTAATAATTAAATAATACATGTAAACAATAATATTCAATAATAATAAAAACAATCAAAACTCAAACTTAAATATTGAATAAACAATAATTTGTAAATAAAAATAAATATTTAATAACAACAACAAATAATAAATATAATAATATTATTTAATAATAATAATACAATTTACTATTAATAAATGTTTGTAAACAATAATACATACATAAATTCTAATAAAAATTAATTATTAAAGCAGATGGAAATAATGTAGTTTTGTGATTGCGCATAAGTGCAGTGTCCCGTGAGAGTAACTCTACCGCTGAGTTAACACTGATGTGAATGCATGTGGCGTTGTACATTATATTGAGACGGAGGGAGGCGCCAGAACTGCAGCTGATAGAATGTGCGCTGTAGCAGATACGATATTTCTTCAAAAGCAGATCGTGGAGACATTCAAAAATCGTCATATCGCACACCCCTAACTACCAAGTATAATCAATCTCACACACACAAACAAGCACAACGAAATCACTTCACACTATTAAGCGGCTGTGTTATGAACATGCAAAATTGTATCGCACCCGTGCTACAGTGGTAAATTTATTCATCGCACAGACCGGTTTTTTTGTAGCACGTGCGACATATATGTCGCACTGTACAGCCCTGCAAGGCATACAACAGGTGCGTCTTTGGGGTGTAAGTACCTTGCAGCAAACACAGAAAGCTTTAAGCGGGTTGAGTCCGAGCCACCCGGTGTTTCCCGCCTCCCTGAAGCGGTTCATGAACTCCGTATAGAGCGCCCTCTGCAGGCGAGACAGTCGTACCAGGATCACGTGCTCCTCTTTCGCCGGAAGCTGATTCCGGAGAACATCGTGACCTCGCCTGGCCAGGGAGAAAACAGTTTAGCTTCATTTTCCAAAACCAATGGTCCAACTCAAAAATGCACAAAAACGCCATTTTTGTTCTGTACCTAAACCTCCTTAGAAGAGAAATTTACTTGAGAAGCAAAAATTGTGAACAAAAAATAAGACTTATTTTCCAAGACATTTTGATTCTAAAGAAAATATACGTTGCGTATATAATAAATATGTAATAATTAAATAATACATGTAAACAATAATATTCAATAATAATAAAAACAATCAAAACTCAAACTTAAATATTGAATAAACAATAATTTGTAAATAAAAATAAATATTTAATAACAACAACAAATAATAAATATAATAATATTATTTAATAATAATAATACAATTTACTATTAATAAATGTTTGTAAACAATAATACATACATAAATTCTAATAAAAATTAATTAAATATTCCATATTACAAATGTAATAAAAATCTTATTAAAAGAGTAATGATAATAACAAAAAAATAAAAATAAATCCACAATAATTGTTAACACTAATACACATTTAATAATAATAATAAACATTTAATAATAAATGTACGTAAACAACAAAAACCTAAATAGTAAATTAATAATTTGTAAACAACAATAATATGTTATATAATAATAATAATAATAATAATAATGAATATTCAATAATATTAATATTGAAAACAAATTATTAATAATGACATAATAAAAATGATAACAATAACAAACATGTAAAAATAAATATTCATTACTAATACCACAAATAATAAAAATGGGTAAATAATAAATAGATAATTAATGTAAACAATAAGAATATTTCATAATGAAAATAACAATAATACTACTACTAATAATGGTGATAATAACATAAATATTTATTTAATAATAAACGTAAAAGATAACAAATATTCAATAATAATTAAATAAACAATAATAAATATTCATAACGTAATAATGACTCATGAACTATAATACAATGATTTTTTTTATTTAAATTACTATAAATCTGAACATAAATGATACTAATATGTAATAATATATTAATAGACATAATTAATATATTATTTTATTAACAACAACAAATAAGTAAATATAATAAATATTTCAGAAGAAAGATAATATTAATACTCAATAATAATAATAATAATAATGATAAAAATAATCATAAGAACAATGCTTGAGACTGTAAAAATAATGTGAAATTGTACATGGTCGTTTTTTTTAAATAAATAAAATAAACAATAATAAATATGTAATAATAATAGCTGACCTCTGCACGAAGCCCTCCAGCAGACTGTGCAGGACGTGACTCCTGTATCTCATGAGCTGGACGTCCTGCGGTGTGCTGTCTATACACTGGCCGTTCAGAATGGGCCGCTCGAACATGTTACTAAACTCCTGCCGCGTACCGAGGAAATCGGGCCGGACGAAATCCACCATGCACCAGTACTCGATCAGGTTGTTTTGCAGCGGGTATCCGGTCAGAACCACCCGCCGCCGGGACCGGATATTCTTCAGGGCCTGCGAGGTGCTGGCGTGGCAGTTTTTGATACGGTGGCCCTCGTCACATATGACGACATCCGGTCCGGGCCGCGACAGTGCTCTCTCAATCCCTGAACACCACAGAGAACACGCAAAAACTCATTAGAGACCATAACCAGAATAAACGCCGTACATTTTCCACCCGCAATCCCCGACAGACCTTTCATGAGCTCCTGCTGACGGTCCTCCTCGTCCAGGTCAATAATTACAGGTCCCGCGGGTTTCTTGGACTTCCTCTTGCGGCCAGTTACAAAGCTCTTTTTGAGAGACAGCAGGCGGTACATCTCGTACCCCATTAGCAGCACCCCGCCGCCACAAGTCCAGTCCTCCACCACCTTGGCCCGGGCCACTGTGGTTCTGGTCCAGATGCAAGAAATACATTGATGTGTCAACAGATGCTACAAGCGACTGAACTACCGATTAACACGCAAATCATGACCAACATAAACACTTTAACAACAAAGATCCCAAACATATTGTGAGAGATTATATGTCATTTTGTGCGTAAATCTCACAAAAAAAACAAAAAAAAAACTTAAAATTGAATAGATAATTATATTTTTCATAATATATAGCCTATTTTTGAGACCAAGTTTTATTTTGTCATTGTGACATTATTGTTAATGACAATAAAGCACATTTTCTCTCCAAATTCAGTACTGTAACATGTCAGGAAGTTTCATATCCAAATAGTTTAATTAATCATAATATATTTTTTTTTAATTAATAATTAATAACAATATTTTTTTACATTAATAATAATGTAACATGTAAATAATTGAATTAGCATTTAATAATAAAAATACTGAAAAATACGCATTTATAACAAATGACACTAAATATAAATAACATTTAATATAAATAACACATACATACACATATTTTATATATATATATATATATACATATGTGTGTGTGTATATATATATATATATGTATTTCAATACACCACTGTTATCTGTTAATGCTATTATTACACATTTATTATAATAAATTAATAATAATTATGATAATAAATGCCTGAAAATAAAAATTAACATTGTGTTCACATATTCAATGGTGATTCTTGTTACTTTAATACAATTATTTTTTTTATTTAAATCACCATAAAATTAAGCATAAATTATATGATTATGTGAATGTATTAATAGACATTATTAATACATTGTTTTATTAACTTCATTTGTTAACATTGTCATTTTGTAATTAATTTACTAGCATATTTACTCATTTTTAATAACCAATTGTTTATTTATAATAGTAATTATATAACTATTTAATCTTAAATAATGAATTTAAATAAAGCATGAATTTCTTTGAAAACACACACATACAATATATAAATATATGTACACACACACACACACACATATACATATATATATATATATAACCATTATTAACATATTCCTATCACAATAATGACAATGGAATTATGGCAATGACAACTGAGGACAGAAATGTGCTTAATTATCAATAAATAATGTCACAATATAAAACCAATATAAGGTAATCTTTCTTTTGATTTTGGGGTGCAATATGACCTAGACATGTTCTTGTCTCTTTCCGTGGGATTCACCCTTGCTTTGGTTCACCATATTAACATTTGGAGTGCAAATAAGAGGCAGTGAAGCATTCATACTTGTGCTCATCATTGAGGATATGAACCTTAAAGGTTCGAGGTAAAACCTGGGCTGGATCCGTGTCGGGGGGAAGGGACTCAGCAGCAGGCAGCCAGAGATTAAACTCAGCCAGCCAGTTCTGTAGTGTATTCACCTGGAGACGAGAGGAGACATGAGACTCAAACTTCTCTGACAGAGCGACAAACACAATCCCAGGCCGTCTCTGGTTCTCGGACACTCACAGGTACAATGGCGAGGACAGTTTTGGCTCCAGTGTGCCGCAGCAGGACGTCGATAAAGGAGATGACCTGTAGGGTTTTGCCCAGGCCCATACTGTGAGCCAGAACACAGCCGAAGCCACTGCTGCTCTTATAGCGCTCTAGAGACTCCACCAGGTTATCATACAGGAAACGAATACCACCAATCTGAAAGTAGAGGAAGAGATGTCGACCAAGAGGTTCCACGTCCAAGTGAAATGGAAAAAGGCTCATTTCATAGCAGAAATGCGTATACCTGGTGTGGTTTAACGGCACGGGCAAGCTGCGGGGCGAGGAACAGGTCCTCCTCGTCTCCTGGGTGGTTGATATTGACAAGCACTCTTCCCTGGGCGTCTGGTTGATTGAGGCTGTCGTTCACATGTGACCCGCTGCTCTCCTCTGTGCCGGGAGTGACAGAGCGATCCTCACTGTTGTCTTCCTCGCTGCTTATCCGCAGGGTGTCTTCATCACCTGAACTCAACTCGATCACATCTGGAGAAACACAAATGAACATCAAGATACCTAAACCACAACTTGCTTCTTAAGAATATGCTTGCTTCTTAATATATATATATGTGTGTGTGTGTGTGTGTGTATGTGTATGTATGTATGTATGTATGTATGTATATATATATATATATATATATATATATATATACACACACACACACAGTATATATACACATACAGGGGTGCACATAAGTTTTTCAGCGTGGTTCTCATATGAGAACCTGGAGATTTGGTTTGGTCCTCACACTGCATATACTGTTACCCATTAAATATAACTATTAAAAAAATTAATAAGACTGATAATAATATTGCACTTTATTTAGTTTTTTTTAAATAAAATTAATAAACTAAATAAAGTGTGATAATACTGTTATATTTTAAAATTAAAGGGAAGTATTAAATACAAAAACAATTACTTTATAGTAAACTTCAAAATAAAAAGTGAATATTTACTACTACTTTTTTAAATTTTCATCATAGTCGAACTTAAAATCAGCAGGTTTTTATTTTGGCGGGTTGCCGGCAAAGTAAGTATATGCGCTTCCGGGTTTAAAAATTTAAAAAAAAAAAAAACAGTCAAGCTGCATGAATAGCTATTCTTATACACCCAAAAAACTAAATCAGGACTTAGTAAAAGGGCATTAATAACCAGGGGTGCACACGTTTTTCAGCCTGGTTCTCATATGAGAACCTGGAGATTCGGTGTGGTCCTCACATTGCATGAACGGTTACCCATTAACAATAACTTAAAAAAAAAATAAAGACTAATATTGCACTTTTTTTTTAAATTAAAAACCAAGTAAAGTGTGATAATACTATATTTTAAAATTAAAGGGAAGTATTAAATACAAATACAACTACTTTATAGTAAACTTAAAAAAACGTTAATATTTACTACTACTTTTTAAAATTTATTTTCGAACTTAAAATCAGCAGGCTTTTATTTTGGCGGGTTGCCGGCAAAGTAAGTATATGCGCTTCCGGGTTTGGAGCTGCCGATCGAAGAACGTCAGTGAATGAAATGTCACAGTTTGTGCTTTGAACAGCATTGTGCTTTGAAAAAACGGCAGCGGATAGCCTAGATTTATGCTTTCAGTTTGAATAGAAATCTTATACAGTACAGTTTGTCGATCTAAAATGGTGATTGTGCATTAACAGCTGTCAATCATGTCGGTACGCAAATGCGCAGTCAGAACTTATTTACATTTTTTGTTTTGGTTGCGCATGCGGACCTGCGTACCACTTATGTGCACCCCTGAATATATATGCGTGTGTGTGTGTGTATATATATATATATATGTATATATTTTTTTTTTAAAAGTATAATATATTTTC